GTACGATTCCTGAATCTTCTATCAGGTATTATTAATGTTAAAATTCAGATGATATCTTTCCTAAATTTTCTTAATTTCTAAATTTAGGTATAATCAGTATTGGTATTTAGGTATTTAGGTATAATAATACTATAATATATAATAATTATGGTATTTAGGTATCAATCAATATTGCCAACAATCTTTAGAAATAATGAAACTTTTCATTCCCTAATTTTTAAATTAGTTTACATTTGTAGACGATAGATCAGTAGATGATAGAAGATAGTACTTGGTACCTTGGTACGAATAAAGATGGTCGTTCTCTGTCCATTGCTTGTCGCTTAAGCCCTATGGGCAGCGTGATCGGAGCCCAAACGCAACACACCGCTTTGTTCGTCACGCAAATGTATCTAGTGATGTTCGTGTCTTCTCGGACCATATTAGCCTCGATGTTACGCAACAGTTGATAACATGCGAGATCAATCCATCGTTGAAGCTCGGCCCGCAGCTTAGCAGCGATCTACGGCGTTCGAAACATCAGAATCTTGAATCTTTAGTTTTAGAGTAGAAGCGAGATTTCTCTCACCGATTCACATTCGGCCACGTACTCCTTCGAGACCATCGTGGAGAAGCGAATAATTCGATCGATCTTGCTCAAGAGCTGAAACATCACGAAACATTATCGATTTAATATCGTGTGTATACCAACTACCGACTCTTATAAAACGTATATGCATTATTATACTTTTATAATAGCGAAATGTGCTTGTAAAGTATAATAAAATATACTTCAATACGAGACTACTTAATCTAATTTTAGTCTCTGATAATTATACAGTTATACAGTTAACTACATATATTTCAATTAGTAGTGGAAATAGATTAATATTTCAATATTACATTATTGGATACTCTCAATCGATATTTACATATTGGTTTCTAGAAATTCTTTGTTTCAATTTCAATTCAGTACAATCACTCGAGATCAGTTATTGCAAAAAGTAAAGTATCATTAACAGGAAAGAAATATTTTTCCATTAGAGTACAGTTGCAATAAAAATATTAATTCCTTGATCGAATTGGTCCAACTGTCTATAAATACTTACAGATGATTGTGTGTGTGTGTCTATATATATATATATATATATATATATATATATATATATATATATATATTATGCGCATATATCGGTCAAAGTCCTTCTCGAAAGGAGAAGGCAATAAATAGTAGAGAAAGAGAGGATTAAAATATGAAAAATCAAAATTTCTTTGATCAGGTATTTTCACCTTTGAGAAAAAAAGAGAAAAATTGTTCCATCATGTGAACTACATTTGTACAAGGTTTCAAATTTCTCAATTTCCCTCGTAATAATATTCACTTACGTGCGTGATCACTCGACACTTTTCCTCTATAGTACTCATAGTCGCCTCTTCGCCCTTCAACGACCAGAGGAACAAGAACGTATTCATGTCGGGCAGCGAACCAGGATCTGGCAGACCATCGCAAGTCATGTACCGTGCCCACTAAAAAAAAAAAAAAAAAAA